GGGGGGGGGGGGACAACGGTGGAGACGGGCATACATGGACAGCAGGTCTTAAAAGATAGCAATCTTTGACTTTGAGAACCTGACAACTGTACCATCTGATACAATAACATTATTTCTCTCTGTAGTCGCCGTGCGCTCGGAATCGCGTCAGAGATGTCGCTTCCGAACATTTCTGAGCGTTATCTAGGGAGAGGAGAGTGTCGTGAGCGTGGAGCGTCAGGTAGCTCAGTGGTTTAGAGCAGTCGCCCGGCAAGCAAAAGACCCGGGTTCGAGTCTCGGCTTAGCAAAACCGTGCTCTCGATATTTTTCTCTCTCTGGAATGAAAAAGATACGCAGATCTCGAACGTACGGCGTCCCGCCGCCATCTAGTACGTTCTCCTCCTTCTACGAACATAGAGCTATACGTGGAAACATATAGCTTTCTCTCTCGCACACATTTTGGATACACTTTTGTGCCAGAATTCCCCCTCCATGTATATATGCTCTAAGATTGGAACCACTGAAATATATACTACTTGGAACCATATATGTAATACTACTATATTGCTAATCGCCCAAAGTTGCCTGTAGAAGGAGCTTGTCCCAGAATGGAAGGACAGACGATGTCCGAGTAGTGTATTTTGATTGTAATGTGTAGGCGCGGCGATCAGATGATGTTATTATATACATAAATAAAGTAAAAATGCGTGACATGTACTTAACCTGGATAGCTGCTTCCTTACCTGTGTAAACTTATATTTTCATTTGCAGCTGCTTTTTTTTCACGTAAATAGCATCCGGGTGCTCATGTTTATAGCATATGGTATATATAACCTATTACATGCAACTTTGTACAATATATTTTATTTTTCCATTGGCAGATACGATCTATCTGACACATACGCATAACATTCATAATATACTTAGAAAGAGAGAGAAATATATATTCCCGCACCGTGGTTCTCCGAGGCCGGACTTCTCTTTCCTTTAGCAATATAGTAGTATTACATATACAGGGTTGGCAAAAAGTCTGGAAACGGTCAAATATCTCGAAAAGGATCAACTGTAGCGAAAAATATGTAAGTAGCAAAGTTGTAGGGCTTAATAAAATGTACCTAATGATGGCTAAAAATTTGATTTTGGGTGAAGGACGAAGGTCATACGAAGGTCAAATTGAATTTTTTAAATTGGAGCCCCCACTTTTTATTACATATTCTTGTAGCTTATTCCAAGGGCTTTCCAAAAATCTATAATAAAGTATTTTTTTTATTAGGCATATTTAGAGTTATGAGGCTTGAAAGAATTTTGGTCTTTAACTGTTTCTGTTTCGTAAAAACGTATCACTGTCTTCTGAACGGTGGATTTAGAAATAAAATTGCGATCAGGATATGCAGCATTGAATGTGTAGATCAGTTATTCTTCGTATGATCTAATACAGTCTCCAAATTTTCAATAAAGAAACAGCATTATCTTTTCTTTATCAGTTAACATTTTTAAAAAAGAAATTTGAAATTGTAGTTGGAAAAAGAAAGGGAAAAGACAAAGAGTAAGATGCAAGAGAGCACGACTCGTTTTTAAAATACAAAGATTGAGAAGCGTTATCGTGAAGCGCGGGTATGCGCGAGTTTTGACTGAGTACGTGTGATATTACGTCGTGAATAACCGCGTTCGATGAGAGCGAATGAACAACTAGCCGGTCATATCGTCTAGCTCGAGACACGAAAAACAAAGTTATTCTTGTTTTTCTCCTGTGTTTATGTTTTTTAGGCTCCCAGC